ACCTGGTCGACGTCCGTCTTAAGAGAACAATTATTAATCCTTGGATCTTCTTAAAACAAAGAAACAAAAAGCAGATGGCGAATAACAAAAGAGAGAGAGAGAGAGAGAGAGATGATTGACCTTTTGCTTTATGATGAATCCTCTTCATGGCAGCATCGCCAAATAGAAGAAATTTCCATTTGAACCTGTTTAAATTATTTACAGAGAGAAAAAGTAAGAAGAAACTAGGTACATGTGGGAACCGGATGAAGAATACCTTTGAATTCGTTGTTTTTTTTTGGCGGGATACACGAAGAATGTGATGTAAATTGACAAAGCATGTCCGTCCATCCGTTATCCCTTTCCTCCTCCTCCTCCTTCCCTTCCTCCCGTTCCCCGTTGTTGGAGAAGAGAGGATAAAGTTAAAAGTCATCTGGTGTTTTTTATTTATAAACCATCGCATTTCCTCTTTTCGTTAAATACCTGTCTGTGAACACATCTACTAGGTATCAGGTGTGTGTGTGTGTGAGAACGGAGTCAAAAATGGTGGAAAAATTAAGGCACCTGTTGTTGGTTGTTATTATTTAACGGTCAAAAACCGTTTTGAGATGGTAACAAAAGCTCCAGTTATTATAGCGTCCCAACACCAATTCGATATTCGATAGATTCGATTATCGATTCCACCGATATCGAATACATCCATTTTTTTCGCAAATCTTTTCTTGAGTTTCTTTTTAATTCGTGGAACCTGTTATCATTATCTCTTCTTCTTTTTTTAAACGTTCGGGATCGTTTTCCTCCGTACTTTGATTTTCTAGTATCGAATTTAAATTTTTCTCTTTGACCCTTAATGAAAAGACATCTTCATCACTCGATGAGGAAAAATTTTCTTCTGCTTCTTCTTCTAGTTTTTCCGCCAATCCGACGCCATTTCCACATGGTAACTTCGTGATGTAACAAGTGAAAACTTTCAAAAGAATCCTTTCACGACGGTTAATCCCCTGGATGCGAAGCAATTTGTAACGGACTTTCTCCCCTCCTCTCCCTCTTCGCCCTCATCAGACACACGGGTGGGGATGAAAGGAAGAACGGAAGGAAATGAAGCCTCAAAAAAAAAAAAAAAAAGGTAAACGAAACGCACGACTTCATCTAATTTTTTTTTGTTTTTAATGACACAAGGAGGTCTCTAAAAAAAAAAATAATCGTTACAAAATCGATATCGATAAATATAACCTCGAGGCTATAACCTGTCATGAAATATCCTACCAGAACAACAACAACAACCAAACAACAACAAATAAAACAACAACAAATACAGACGTCGAGAATCCTTTTCTTTTTTTATTTTTAGTAGAAAATCTATAGAAAAGGATTGTAACGGATCATTTATTGAATATTTCTGTCATCAATAACCTACCAATAACCTACCGATACATAACATTTTACAAAACCTTTTTTTGTGGACCATAGAAAACGGTTAAAGAAGAAGAAGAAAGTCATAAATCTGTTTTCCCCCCTTTCCTCCCCTCCTCCTCTCTCTTTTTTCTCTTCTAAAAAGAAAGAAATAAAAGAAAGGAACGTCTGAACCTTGTGAAGAAAACCTTTATTTTGTAAATATAAAGAAGAAAAAGGATGAGACAAAAGAATTAATAATGAAAAAAAATATTTGGAACCTGGAGAAAGAAAAAAAAACGTGAAAAGTCTTTGGAAATTCTTTTTCTCAAACAAGAGAGAGAGAGAGAGAGAGAAAAGAAAGGGTAAAATTAAATTTATGCAAAAGTTTTTTTTTTTTTTTACCTGAATATGTGATGAGGCAAAGTGAGATGGACGATGGTAATTATTATTATTATTAAAGAGACTTAATTAGGAAAAAGGTTAAGAAAATTTTCAACGAGATCGTACACGTCTTTCTCTCTCTCTCTCTCTCTCTCTCAGTATCATAACCAAACGTAAACTTATTTTGCAATATTTTTTCTTGTGCTTTCAGTCACGTGGCTTTGTCGTCAAAATAATCATTTCTTTCTTTCTGCAGGTGAATAAAAGGATCAATCGAGCTCTCTCTCTCTCTCTCTCTCTCACATTTAGCATAACATTCATCGTTTTTCTTTAGGAAAAAGGTGCAAAAGTCACAAATATCATCATCATCACACAATGATAGGACGTTAGTCATCAAAAAATTCGTCATTACTACGAATAAAAAAAATAAAGCAAAATATATGACCCTTATATATATCGAGGTACAGGTGCAGAAGAGAGAATTCCTATGTTTACCATACGACTAACAATGATGAACTCTCATATTTCAATATAAAATGTCCGAATTGGAAACGTCTACTAATACGGTTACGGGCTTTTTCTACGATTCTACGATACGTTATTCCGCCAATCTTGTACTCAAAGCGAACTCATCGTTACTTTTTTCTATCCCACATAAGTTAAACATAAACGAACGTTTACTAAAAGCTCACGACGACAACGAATCATGTACGGAACGACGTCAACCGAGTAAAAATGCGGGCGAAAAGCGAACGGAAAAGTACGAATGTCGTCTCTTCGTAAGCTATGATTTGGGTTTATATAAAAAATAATTCAAAGCGAACGGTTCTCACGTTCGATGACGAAATCGAACGTCCAACGTAATATAAGAAACATAACGTAAATGAAGTTTCTAATTAGAAAAACCGTTACGAACGAATACGTATGTCGGATTCAACTTGTACGGTTTCGTTTCTCCACTCTCTCTTTGTCATGTCATTCTTAATAAACATGTCAAACGCATAAGTTAAACACGGGCGACGTCTACGTTATTGTATTTATTCTTAAAACATTTTTCGCGTTTATCCATCATCTCATACGTTCTCGCACAAGTCTGGATGGGATTGACTTTGATGAGTTTCTTATTTTCAATAAAAAAAATTTTTTTTTTTTTTTCTTTCCACAGAATCAATTTAACAATTAAATAAAATAATCGTAACGAACGAGAAAATAATAATCGAATATATTCGATTATCGATTATCGATGTAAAAGTGTTAGTAAAAATCGTTTGTGTGTTAATTTAAAAGTGAATAACGAAATCGTAAATATTTTCGATATATATTGTCGTCGATTGTTGCGTATTCGATTGTTGTCGGTCGTCATCATCTCGAAACGAAAAAAGTTTTTTTTTTTTATATATAATTTTATATCGTCGTCTAGAATTTTTTTTAACCGTTTGGATTACGACAGGAGATTATAACCGGTGAGTTATTTATTATTATTATTATTATTAACCTTAACTAAATGAGAGTTTGAAAAAAAAAAAATGTTTGAGGTCCAACGTCGTCGTTCTAAACTGGATTAACGAATAATGATAACGAAAAATAAAAAAGAAAAAATTGTTTTTGTTATTTTTACGTGAGAAATCGATTGTTTAACATAAAATCCAAAGGTCAAAGAGAGAGAGAGAGAGAGAAACGAAATATTGTTTCTTTTTTTTTTTTATAAAGAGATACCCACGACAAAAAAAAAGATTTGTGGGAGTTTCGTGTAACGAAATTTGTGTGTGATTGACAATAAGAGACAAAAAGGAAACGAGGAATCAGTCCTTGAGTAAAAAAAAAAGAGATGTCACGAAATCATCATCATCATCATCATCATCATCGTCAGAGTATGAGAAAATTCGTATCACACGGGAAAATTACCTTACACAAAATTATTATTATTATTATTTTAAATGCATTAAGAAAACATGCAAAAGAAAAACATGGAGTCGTTTGGAATTTCAAATATCTATTGACACTTTTTTTACGAGATGACGAAATTTCTACAACGTTCTGACATTCATTTCCTAGAATTAAACGTCTTCGATGGTGCCGATAATGGCGATTGATATTATTAGTCCACCGATTCAATCTCAACGGTTTCGTTTCGTGTTCTAGGGGAGGGATGAGGAGAGGCTGTCCACCGAACGGGGGGAGGGGGAAGTTTCCTAGATGGAATTTCTTTAGAAAACCGGTTCTTCTACACACACAAAAGGTTAAAACTGGTTTTTCCGTTCCTTTCCCCGGAAGTTAATTTAACGATCATCCGTGTACAGCATCCGTAATCCTCTTGTTTGTTTTTGTTTTGTCTGAGGTGTCAGATGGCATTCACAGGTAGACGTAAAAAAAAAAAAAAAATTATATTTGTTTTTCAACGGATCGCGTATGTGACGTCATCGAAGGGATGATTTTTTTTACATTTCGGTGTAAGAGCGCGTTCACGCACGCAAAAAAAAAAAACCAGTAAATCGTTTACACGGAACACATCGAAATAAAAAAAAAAAAAAAAAGAGGTACGACGGTTCATTGTTCTTATTGGTGATATTGTCTCCAACTTTAGGTACGTGTCCAGCATCTTAGGAGAAATGAATACATATAGTTTTGAGAATCATTCGAGTGTGACTGATGTCTCTGCTTATCAGTCTATACGCATTCGCACGTCTCCCCAAAATAATAATAAAAAAAAGGATTTATTGTGTGAGGAGCGTCCGCGGTCTTTTAATGTGTCCATCATCCATATCGATGATTTCAACCTTTTTCTCTTCTCCGAAAATTCTCGTCATGTTCTAAAATGTTTTTCGTTTCATTCTTTAGTCCCCCATCATCTTGTACTCTTAGACGTTTAATAAAAATTTTATCGGACACATTCGTACTACTCGGTTGACTAATCATCTTTTACAAAGTACCGAGTAGAGTCCATGCGTTTGTTTTTTTGTGTGTGTGTGAAATTCGATTCTTGCGGTTTCGTTCTAAAAAATAAAAAACGAAGAAGGTTCGTTCGACTGGACATTCTAACGATCGGTGCTATCGACCGACATTTCTCCAACTAACTCCTTGTCGGACAAAAGATGCCGAAACCATAGGAGAAACAATGTCAGCCATTTAGTCATTCCTATGACATTTTTTGGTCAGGTGAATCACTGATGGTGGTAACACAAGCAGATTTACGAAGCCTATCATCGGATGATGTGAGATTTCGTCGGTTTCAAGGTTTTCTCGGTTCGTGTGTGAGAGAGAGAGAGAGAGAGAGAGAGGAAATGTAAAAAAAAAAAAAAAGGAACGAGCAAAGACCATCACCACGAAAAAGTCCAGACACAAGTTCTCGACACATGCAAGCGTGAGTGATTTTTATAAAAGCAAGAATAGAATAATTAAAGAGTTTATCTTTTAGGAAAACCAGTGAATTGGAATCATTTTAACAACAAAAAGAAAGAAAGAGGTATGGACCATGAAGACTCACCGGAAACCGACCGACTTGACTTTAAAAAATCTCCCTCCATACAAAAAAACCTGATCTGTGGGAGACTTTTTTTGTAACGCTTATAATTCCCAACTAACAACAACAACAACAACAAACACTTTAAGTACTTTTTCCTATAATTTTTTTCGACGCAAAAAGTTTAGTGCCACGTTTAAAAACCGGTACGCTCGGGCTGCTGTGTATGTTTTCTACCCCGACACACGGTAAAAAGAATAATAAATGACAAAAAAAAAAAAAACTTCCGGAAATTCGACCTTTGACCCGAACTGAGGACGTTAATTTTTAAAAAAAACCGACAGGAGTCCGTTCATTGACGAAAAAACATTCGAGTCATTCCAACAACCGGTTAAATTAACATAATACGTAAATAATAATAATAATAATAATAAACATGTTTGTTTGTATATCAGGTGGTTTTTTTTTTTTTACTTACGCTTACGTTTTCCTGTAGGATGTTGACCGTTTCCCCGAAAACGAACGTGTCAATAAATATTTTTTTTTTCTTAAATAATAATGATGATGATGATGATAATGATAATGTACATAAACGGAAAGAAAAGAAAAAGAAAAAGAAAAAGAAAAAAAAAAAAAAAACAATCGTCGCCATAAAGTTCGTCGGTGCCATAATTCCGACATCGAATAATCTTCGCGTCGCAAATCAAAAAAAAAAAAAAAAAAAAATCCTGATTCAAATTTATTATTATTATTATTATTATTATTATTATTATTATTATTATTGTATTGACTATAGCATTAGGTTTGTGGACAAACAACGAATGAGAATTCGTTTCTTCTTCTTCTTTTCTTTTTTATTTTTTTTCGCTGATCTGAATTTTAGATTTTTTGCTGACGGGAACGGGAATAATAATAATAATAATTTTCCTTAATAATGATATATGGGAAGTTGGGGGGAGGGGAGGGGAGGGGGAAGGGGGTCTTTAACACTTAACCTCATGTCAATGATCTCAAACGAGTTTTTTTTTTTTTTTTTATAACTGATCTCAACTCATTTACCTTAGATTGGCAAATTTTTATTTTATTCAAGCGCCTGATTTATAATATAATAATAATAATAATACAAAGGCGCCTTAAATTCAATTTTTTTTTTTTTTTTTTTGTCGACGAATGGCTAAGATTTGTTTTTTTTTTTTTTTTTTTTTTCGCGAGATTTCGCAAGAATAATAAATAAAGAGAAATTAAAAAGAAAATTCGCAGAAAATAGAAAAAGAAAAGAGAGAGGGGGAGAGAGAGAGAGAGAGAGAATAAAATTGTTAAATTTTTCCATCGCCGAAAGGTTTTTTTGGTACAAAAGAGAAATCGAAATTTTCTCGTTAATGCTAATAACGAAAAATACAATAAAAATTCATTTCTTCAGACTATTTGAGTACAGGTATGAATGAGTGAATGAATGACAGGGCGCCGCCGACGTTCAGGTACACGGTAACACGGTAGGCGACAGTGACAGAGATAAATAAAAAGAATAGCGGGATCCTGAGTATGAACCGTTATATGAAAAGCATCTCAAAGGAGGGGTGGTGGTGGTGGTGGGGTACAGGTACTGGACGTGAAGGTTTACACGTTCGAAAATAAAAATTGAATTCTCAAAAATCACAGATGATTCATTTATGCACGTCATTCGGACCCTAAAAACGTAAAATGAAATCTGCCAATGGTAGAATAATCGATTTGCTAAATTTAACCTTTTTCACGAGAAAAAAAGGAATTTCAGAAAAACGCGCAAACTCCTCCTGGACCAACGAAATCGTTTTGCATCGGGGATGATGAAAATATTTTCTCATATCCGAAGAGGAAGGCGACCATTTTGTTTAATTTTTTTTTTTTTTCTACTTAAAAATCGAAAAATAATGGAGTGAAAGAGAGAGAGAGAGGGAAACTGATGGGAGTGATGGGACAGGAGAAACGATTTTTATAAAATGAAAATTTATATGAGAGTCAAAAAAGGCTCGACTTAGGGCACATCACGCGACTCACGCAAACTTTTCTTCCAAGAAAAAAAATTTTCCAGATAGGGAACAAAAAAAAAAGGAAAATCTCTTTTCGTTCGTTTCGATTTTCACGTATTCCGTGAGAGTAGGGGATGGGATGAAATCGGGTAAACTTTGCGTCTGTGTACGTGGACCTGGATATGTGTTACCATGGAAACGAAAAAGTTTTTTTTTTTTTTCTGCAATCAATATAAACGGAAAGATTTGTTTTGAAAACGACTGTTTACGCGGGTCTCCATGACGATCATCCATGTACCAACACCTGGCGATATAAGACCGACACCGAGGGTAGAAAAGAGAGAGAAAAAGAAGAATCTGGGAAACGATGCGGGCTTCACATGCAAAGTTTTCAATTTTTTTAAAAAGCGAAAAAAAAGAAAATAAAAAAAGTATTTGTAATGCCATTTACCGTGACGTCAAATAAGGACATCCTGTTTAGGTTGAACCGATGATCGACATCGAATGTTGTGTCTTCTTCCACGACATATTTAAATCATTTATCCAAGGAATCGTGTTTCTCACCGGCGCAAGGTCAAACCGATTCTTTTTCGACAAACATTATCCCGCGTCGTAATATCGACCGACGCACATCCTTATATGCGATTCATACAAAAAAAAAAAACTTTCGTTGCTGTCGTCGGCATCGAAATAAAAGAACGATCTACTACCCTCATTTGTGTGTGTTTTCCTCTCTCCATCTTTTCCTCAATTTTCACGAAATCTGAAATAATGACGCAATTAATTAATTTAGAGGGGAAAAAAAATATATAAAGGTTTTGGAAAATTTTAATTAGGTTGACCGGCAATGGGTATTTTTTTTTGTGCAACGAGTGTAATAAAAAAGAGGTTATTTTCGTGTATATACACACACGAGGACGATGGGGAATTTGGAAATTTCGAAATTTTATTCTATATACGTATCGATCGTGGCAAAAGATTCGAATCGGAGAAATCGAACAACAACAACAACCGAAATTTATTTTTGTCGAATTACGATTTCTTCATTTTTATTTGGGATGATTAAATTTCGTTAAATTTAAAATTTTTTCTTTTTTTATTACATTTAATTTCGTACTTTGCTTACCTTTTTCATTTTTTTTCGAGTCAATTTCGAAAGAGAAGAGGAAGAACCTGTTTTTTTTTGTTGGTAAGATGAAAGGTGGCCGGCACGCGTTTTGTTCTTTAACAATCAGCATCACCTGCTGCGTTTTTCTAACATCCTCCTTATGCTGTCTAACAGACACACACACGCACCTGGAAACAATGTTTAATCTTTGACTTTTTTGATTGTAACAATAGTTTACCTTAAAATTTAATTTTAAAAAATTGCAATAATAATATTTATATAATATATGACAATATATACTCGATAATTATTCACATTTGAGTAAAACATTTATCAAAATGTGTGAAAAAAAGTTAAAAGATAATTTTTTTTTTTTGAGGTTAAACAACAATATTTGTTTTATGTTATGAATTACATGTGTTGTGTCGTGTTTATCGATTATAAAATAAAACCAGGAGGAGTCCAATGATATTATTTAGTTGTTTGTTTGTAATGGACCACAGATCACGCAGCTGCCTAATTGTCTCGTGCGGTTATTTTTTTTTTTTTATCTCCTTCGTCTCAATTTTTTTTTTTTTTTATAGATCGTTTAACAAATAACTTTTCGTCGAAGATAAAATTTCGAATTGATTGTTTTTTTTTTTTTTTTCTCCCAACAGATAAATTATTTTAAAATGAAATTAGAAAATGATGGCAGATAAAGAAATGAGAGATAAAATCATATCATCGCCTCAACCAGGTTCGACACTTCCGGCAGTTTTTAGAGAAGACGTCGTTTGCACCGATGATGAAAATTCGGAAACGTGGGATGGTGGATGTGACGACGATGGGAAATCTATCGAGAATGATGTGAAAAGGAATTTCGCGGATATACAAAACATATTGTCCGCGGCAAACGTTTCCGGAATCAAAGTTCGAGATTTTTCCACCGTGAAAGAAAACAAAATTGAAACCAACGATAAATTGTATTCAGAAATAATAAACAGTAGATCTAGTCCGGATAATAATTATACGAATATGACCGTGAATTCATCTTCTTCTTCTTCTTCGACTAATTACAACGTTTTTGTTTCTACGAATTATTCGAGTGGGGATCAAGTCGAGGAAGAAGCTCAAGATTGTTTTGCCGCAGAATGTCGTAGAATGAAATTGAGAGGGGAATTCCCATGTAAATTGTGCACCGCCATATTTCCGAACTTGAGAGCTTTGAAGGGACATAACAGGGTACACATATCAGTCGCGAACGGGACACCGAACTCTCCTTACCGTTGTAACATCTGCACGTACAATTCTCTCGACAAAGCCACTTTGGTACGTCACATGAGATCACACAACGGTGACAGACCGTACGAATGTGCCATGTGCAATTATGCATTCACGACAAAAGCCAATTGCGAAAGACACCTACGAAATCGTCATTCGAAAATAACGAGAGACGAAGTGAAAAGTTCAATAATATATCATCCATCGGAAGATCCCATCAATGATTCCGAGTATCAAAAAACAAACGAAATGAATAAGAAAAATTTGGAAAAATCGAAAGAAAAACAAGAATTTAGTTTACCCATAAATCTAAAAATTAATTTATCGAATTTAAAAAAAACATGGAAAAATGAAGAAGATTTATTTCAAACCGAACATCGAGAATTCATTAAAAACGAAAAACAAATAAATAAAGAAAAAATGGCTGCGAAATACAATGAAGAACAATGTAGGGCTTGGCAATATGACGTAAGCGATGAAGCTTTAGATTTAAGTTTGTATAATGAAAAAAATTACGAATCGGATTCATCGGATTTGCCACAAGATCTGTCGAAAAAGGAAGAAATTAAAGAATTTAACAATAACGTGGAAGAAAAATGTTCGAAAGCGAATCCAGATTTTTATTCGGATCGAATTTACGATAATAAAAATACGACAAATTTCGATATAAATAATTTAATAAAAATGTATTCTTGCATGTATCCGAGTCTTAACATTGCTCAAATTCAACAAATAATACTGACGCAGTTAAATTATTCAGGGGTATTGCAAAAACTTTACGGCTTTCCTTTCACATCGTATTTCATGTCGTCGTCTCCATTATTTTTAAACTCTTACAATATCGAATCGAAAAATTTAAATAGTCTTCAAATGTCGGGTGGAAATATTTTATATGAAAAGCAACATGGTTTGACGATGTCGGAAAAATTACAACTTTTTCAACAGCAAGCCATCGCTGAATTATTATTGAAGAAGGAAAGGGATCGAATTACGGAAAATTTGGGAAAACAGAAGAAGAACGCTTTGGTGGAAACGGAGGCAGAAAAAGAAAATTTTAGGAAAAGTGTAAAAGAAAAAAATAACGAATGTTTAAAATTAGGGAAAATTGAAAAATCTTCGGCAGACAGTCGGAATTCGTCGGTGAAAATGGTGATTAAAAATGGCGTTCTCATACCTAAACAAAAGCAAAGAAGATACAGAACTGAAAGACCTTTTTCCTGCGGACATTGCAGCGCGAGATTCACCCTAAGATCAAACATGGAAAGACACATAAAACAACAACATCCTCAATATTGGACTCAAAAACCAAGGTCGAACGTTGGAAATTTGAAAAAAACCGAATCCAATTTAAGAAAATTGAATTCGTACGAAGTTGACCGTTGTAGAAATTTTGACTACCTGAAGCATTACGCCATAACTAAATCCTTAACGTTGGTGCCTCGAGAAAATTTCAACGGATCGGAAGAAGAAAAGAAATGGGAAGAAATCATAAAACATAAAAAAGAATACGAGACTTCAAACGACGTCCTTAACTTGGTGAAAGACGATGACAACAAAGTAAAAATAAAGCAAGAAATTATTAAAACCGAAATCGAGGATAGAATAGAAGAAGATGAAGAAACCAAAGACGATTTGATCATAAGCGAAGAAAAAGAAGAAGAAGAAGAAGAAGATGCTAAAATGAATCAAAATTTCGTATCGAATGACGACAGTTCACCGGAATTTCTTAGTACGTCACCGGATAAGATGGACACTGATACGAAAATCGGGGAGGAAGAAATGAAAGAAAATGAAAGAAAGGAAAGTCAACCTCAAGATTTAGCAAGCGTTTCGAAAATGCTAGACAACGCGGTGACTCAAACTCAAGCGTTCCAAAAGTACTTTCAAGAAGGCTCAAAAAAAGACGAAGATTCAATAAGGATGGATGCCATCGTGAAAAGAGAAGAAGGCGAAGACAGGAGCGAAGAAGAAGAAGGTTTGATCGCGGAAAACACGAGCAGTGACGAAAACAGGTAAGCAATGTTCAGTTTCTATGATAAATCATATCAACCTGACGCGTAAAGTGATAAAAAAAAAAACTCACCGGAAATTATATTCCAGATCCGAGTCGGAAGTTACTTCGAGGAGCGGTAAAAAGAAAAGTGCATATTCTCTTGCTCCGAACAGAGTTTCATGTCCTTACTGCTTTCGAAAGTTTCCTTGGACGAGTTCGTTAAGAAGACACGTTCTAACACACACGGGGCAAAAGCCCTTCAAGTGCACGCACTGTCCACTTCTCTTCACGACGAAAAGCAATTGCGATCGTCATTTGTTGAGGAAACATGGAAGGGAGGCTTTGATAGCCAGTTCGGGTCAGACCGACAATCCAGAAACCACCGGTAAGACGAATGTTTCGAACCTGGAAAAAGTAAATTTTTTTAATAACTCTGTGGAATGATTTTCCTTTTTGAAACTATTCGAAATTCATCAGATTTATAATTATTTTTAAATGAATCATATTTTTGTTTTTCTTCTATTTCCGTAATTACGATAATCGATCGATGTATGTGATTTAAATGAGACGTTATCGAGTTACTCGTAGCCTTATAAATTTTTGTTACTGGACTCCAGGAGAAAAAGACACCGGAAATCATCTTTAATTAGGTTTATGGGTTTCCTTGAGTCAAAGTATCGAGTGACTGACAGCGTGTGTATACACGTGATCATATAAAAAAAATTTAAACTCTTTTTCATAGTTTTTTACTCGTGACATCTTCCGCTATCGCTTTACTTGAGACGGGGTGTTTTTATTTTTCCAGGTACTTCGGGAAATGGTAACGCATCTAATGCTTCGAGTCCGACTCAGAACAGTAATAATAATAATAATAATAATAATAACTATCCGATGAGAAATGTTCCCGAGCGTCCGTACAAATGCAATCAGTGTCCATCTTCGACGTTTTCGACTCTGAGCAATTTGAACAAACATTTGTTCAGCAAACATAATCGAAACGAATCCAAAGATCCGCCGGAAACGAAGCCTAAAAATGTTATTTATCAGGGCCCTCCCAATGTTACCATCTCTCCAACTGGATTTCCACTGAGTTTGCCCAGAGCTCTCTCCATCATTCCGCAATTTCCCGATTCTTCGAAATCGTCGGGAAAAAGTCCGAACAGCCATAAAACGAAATCCAACGATTCGTTGAATCATTCAAACGGAAGAGATAAATTTTGGGAAGAATCCAGGGCATTTAGAAAGAGAAGTTCCAGCGACGAGACGGAAGCAACGGAGAATAAGAGAACTTCTCCAGATCTTAGAATCGTAAATCAAGAAGCTCAAGAATTGGGTAATTAAAACAAATTTAATTTTTTTTTTCGATTCCGCCATTTTTTTTTCTTCCTCGTTATTAATAATTTTTTTTGGATTTTTTAGAAGGACACCGTTCCGAATCATTACCCGTTCCTTCTAGCGAATTACCGTTCAAGTGTCACCTTTGCGATTCGTCATTCGGAGAGAGAAGCGACGCTTTAGAACACATAAGATGTCAGCATCCGAACGAATTTCAATTACTCGTGTCCAAAGGTGCACTGGAAACAAACACGGACGAAGAAAAACACCAACACGACGACAACGAGGAAACCATCGACTCGAATCGGGGTCGTTTTCCAGACTACGCAAATAGAAAAGTGGGTACCTGGTTCGTCGAGTGACGTCATTGCATCGAGATGAAAGAATATTTTGTAAAATTATCGTTACTCTTCTTTGTAGGTGATGTGTGCATTTTGCATGAGACGTTTTTGGTCTGCCGAAGATTTAAGGAGACACATGAGGACTCACACGGGAGAACGTCCATTTTCCTGCGACGTCTGTCAAAGAAGATTCACTCTTAAACATTCCATGTTACGTCATCGTAAGAAACACAGCGCTCACGACGAAGTTTTGGGTAAGTTTGACGTCATCATCACTTTACATCTCTGACTTGCATAAGAACTTTCAGGTTCGAACAGGATAACGAAATTATTTAAATTTTCAGTTGGAAGCGACGAAGAACATTTGAGCTCTTACCAAATAAATCACAACAACAACATATCGACACATGATAAATCAGAAGATGGACTTCGCAAAACTATTTTACACCAAACTCTGACAAGACACGATGATCACGACCCTGCTGTTGTTGTCAAAGAAGACAAGAAAGAAGAATCGAAAATTGAGTCTTGAGAAAATTAAAAAAAAAAAAAGAAATTTTAATTTAATATAATTAAAATTTTTATATAAATAATCAGTTGTACCAACCATTAAAATTTAATAATATTGATTTCAGTGAGAATTGTTCAATCCAAGTTTTAATCCAAATTTTTGAATTTGTGATTGACAATAATAATAATTTTCATATTGAAAAAATATCTGTAATAAAATAAAAAGAAATTTTTTACAAATGTAAAACATGATGATAGTAGTAGTGAGGTTTTCAATTCTGTTACAAATAATATTCAATTATAAAACCAAAATGTGAAATTTTTTGTTTTTTGAAATGGAAACTACTTAATAATTAGAAATAAGATAATACATTTGATTTTTATATGTTTCTGTTTCTGTTTTTTTAAGATTTTGTTAAAATTAAAATTTATAACCATAAATATAATATATGTTTGAATAAAGATTATTTTTCAATTGTGTTATATGATAAATTTATGTTAAAATGTAATGGAACATTTGAAATGTTAATGTTAATAACATTTGAAATGTTTGATATAACTTTTTCCCAACCTTGTAAAATATGTTTCAACATTAGTTATTGATTTATATTATGTTTTATCATATTCTTTTACATAATTAGTTTATCAGTATAACTAATGAGTACAACTGAATTAATAGAAAACAGGTTTTCTTCTAATTAAAAAAAAAACGTTAAACAGAAAAGCGTATGGGTAGCGTAGGGTATGTATTAAAATCGTTAATTTTATCATAATAATAAAAACTTATTACCATTTTTTTTACTTTTCAGTAATTTTCATTTGTAATATACATTTATCTATTTATATTTCACTCGATTACCATCGCAGTGCAAAATAAAATGAAAAAACATTTTTAAAACTTGACACTTAAACTAATTCGAACGTTTTCAAAAAAACAAAATGGCGGTACGATGACGCCAAATGTTACCTGCCACAATAATTAATAATTTTAATGGCGGGATATTCGTTTTTATGATTAATCTAATCTATGACTCATTCTAATTCAAATAAATATGAAGAAATTCTTAAGAAAATCAATGATATATTTTAACATTATTGATTTTTTTCTTTTTCTTTTTTTTTACTGCGCTATCTTTATTTTATAATTGTAAATAATACGATGATTGAATTTTTTACATATTACGTATTGGCATAAAACAAAAAATTTATCGTAATTTTTGAGTCAG